TTTGAGACAACCACAGTGAAGGCCCTGCTATTTTTTGAAAAAAAAAATGTTCTCAACATTCTACCATTTCCCCCAAAATAAGACAGGGTTTTATATTAATTTTTGCTCCAAAAATGCATAGGGGCTTATTTTTAGGGGATTTTTTTTCATATATACCAATCTACACTTATTCAAATACAATCAATCAAGTCATCTTCTTCTGGCTGCTGCACAATGGTGGAGGGCGGGGTTTGACTTAACTGGGGCTTATTTTGGGGGTAGGGCTTATATTACTAGCATCCTGAAAAATCATACTTATTTTCAGGTTAGGTCTTATTTTAGGGGAAACAGGGTACTGTTTAAATTATTTGTTGTTTGCATGGATGTACTGCTTTCCTGTAACGATGCTGCATTTTGCTCAGTGCTGGTTTTGATGGTGGTGGGGTGGCACTGATGAAACCACTCCTTAATATATCACTTTCCTTGTGAGATACTCAGTTCAAAGTAACATCAACTGTGGGTCCTGATGGCAATTTTTAGAGCACTGTATTTTTAATTGTATTTTAATTGTTTTATCTTTTTGCCGTATTTAAATTGTTGTAGGCCACCCAGAGACCTTTGGGTAGTTTGGCTGGCATATAAGTTAAATAAATAAATAATAAATTTATCACATGCTTTGCAAGCAGAAGGTCTGACATTCAAAGGATGGGGTAGAAAATGCAAATAACCTTTGAGAGAGATGCCAACCGTCAAGGTAGACAGTGCTTGGGCAAACAGACAAGAGTTTGACTGTTCTAAGGCTGCTTCCTGTATTTCTGTCAGAGTCCAAGATAGCAGCTCAGTGCTGCTTCTTGAAAACTGGAGAATAATCAATTTTTTGCCTTTTCTTTCTCCCACTCCTATGAATATAGCCTAGATCAGTGGTGTCGAACTGTGGCCCTCCAGATGTTCTTGGCCTTCAACTCCCAGAAATCCTGGCCAGCAGAGGTGGTGGTGAAGGCTTCTGGGAGTTGAAGTCCAAGAACATCTGGAGGGCCACAGTTCGACGCCACTGGCCTAGATTGTGCACATTGTACTTGATAAAGATTCCTAAACTGCTTTGCACTTTCTTCTGATAGAGAGCTGAACTGGGGAAAGCAGTAAAGCCAGGCTCAAATGGGTTTACTTGGACACTGGTTTCAGCGGGAGTCATCTGTGCTCAACATTGTTTCCTTGTGCAGAAGACCAAAATCAGGCTTTGGCACCTGCTTGCTTCTTATAAAGTTAAATCGAACAAGATTTGAATTGTTAGAAACACCATGTCATCTGTCCCACATAGATTATTATAGATTATTAATCAAACAAAAGATCGTTTAAATAAGCCTAAAAAGTGAGGACAGCATCAGTGTAACTGAGTTCTCAACAAACTGAATACTGATTTCTTTTTTTAAAAAAAACTTACCTATAACATTGTTTTCCACTGCTATAGCCCTTGTAAGTTTTTTAATGTAGAAGTTTTTTTTAAAAAAGTAGTGCTTTCCTCATTAGTTCTGAAATGTTATTTAATCCAAATGCATAACAGTGTAGTAAAAGGAGAAGTTCGGAAAAATTAAGTATGATTTTTTTTTAAAAAAAAAAGGTGTTGTGTGCATAGGACAATTTATATAGCACTGTAGTTTATAGTTGTTGCTTTTGTGTTCCATCCTAAGTACACAACAGTGTCTGTGATTTCTCATGATTTCAGCCATTTAAATCAACTTAGGTAATGACATTCTGGTACACCTTTCAATCATCTTTGTTCTATACCCATTTGCTTGGTTCTTTGGAATGATCTATATTTTGTTGTTTTGGTGCAATAAATGCACTCTGTAATATCTATTATGGTATGGTCAAAGGATAATTTATTGTAAAAAAAAATAGGTCAACACTAATGTCACTTGATGATCAAACCCTCCCCCCTCCCCAGTTTAATAAAACATTTCAACAGCATGCATCCTGCACAGCGGTTGATATTTTATTACAACTGCAGTACCTGGGCTATAGCAGTAGTGTAATTACTGAGCTGTCAGAGTGATAAGTGGGATTAATGGCAGCCTGATGCACTTTAGTCTGCAGAGTGCTCTGAGAATTGGAAGATGGTGTTGTTATAAGAGTCTGTCTATACTGGCATATTCATGGCACTTCCAGTCCCCTCCCCACCCAATGCCACAAATCCAAGTTTGCATTGCCCTGCCTCATTAACATTTGACATTTTCAACAGCTGTTATTTGTGAGCCAGCTCAATAATAATAAAAAAAGAGAGATGTAATTTGGTAAAAATATGTACAATGATGCCACCTAATAATCTGTGCACGTGCCATCCTAACAAAATGGCTTCCTGGTCAATTTTAAGTTACAATTCCCCCCCCCCAGTTTAAATGTAATATATATATATATTTCATTTGATGTTTGCTGAGCACCATCTTCCCAGGCCTTAAATTTAGAATACTAGTTCTATGTAGAGTGGTCCTAATCCGACCAGATAGGAATGATGCCACCTAATAATCTGTGCACGTGCCATCCTAACAAAATGGCTTCCTGGTCAATTTTAAGTTACAATTCCCCCCCCCCAGTTTAAATGTAATATATATATATATTTCATTTGATGTTTGCTGAGCACCATCTTCCCAGGCCTTAAATTTAGAATACTAGTTCTATGTAGAGTGGTCCTAATCCGACCAGATAGGCGGGATATAAAATAAAATAAATAAATAAATAAATACAACAAATCTAGATCATTTATGGTGCTTCTAAATCTGAAAATAAGTGCTTGCCTGAAGTAGTGGTTTTTCTTTTTTTTTAAATGTCAACAATTTTAACTCTTTTGTACAGGATTATTAATCATCCCTTTCTGAAAAATAATGATTTACAGAAACTAGGAAAGCAGGTTTTCCAAACAAAACAGTGTATGGCATATAACTGGTTCAAGCAGTGGTATTTTTGAGAGGAAGGAGGTATTTGTTGGAATGAGAAATTGTAAGGGCTTTTCATGAGAAGTAGTTCTAATTTATTTAATTTCTAAATTGATACTGTAGGTTGCATTATTTTATATCTTCTCATATATTGCATCTCCCTGAAATTGGGATTCCCCCCCTTTTTAAGTCAAAGCTAAATCTCATATCTTAAACACATGCCTCTAGGGAAATGCTGTTGTTCAAACCAGAAAATTATTGTTGATAGGTGGATAGATATGTATTTATGGTTTATTTTTGTTTCAGATATTGGTCATTGACCATAATAACGTTTATCTATCTAACCTCTTGGTGTTTTTTTTAAATTTCTGTATCATACAGTTATTCTGCTAGTAGGAAACTATAGGATTCACCAAGGTTCTGAGGGATCAAAACAGGATAATACTTTACAGAATAATAATGATAAATTAGGTAGAGGAAGTGGAGATGATGGGGGGATTTTATATATATCACATTAGGTGGTTCGCAAAAGGCAACAATCTTTTCCTTATTTTTTTCTCTATGCTCACTTCTCAGATTGCAAAACTGAGATAACATTGGCCTGCAATGCCTGTTTTAAACATTCTAAAATTAATGTACTGTATATATATATGAAGTATCCAGACTGAAGATACAGGCATTGTAGGCCTATGTTATCTCAGTTTTGCAAGCTGAGAAGTGAGCATAGAGAAAAAAATAAGGAAAAGATTGTTGCCTTTTGCGAACCACCTAATGTGATTCCTGGTTGCCACTCTCGACGCTTTACAAGTAGTGGGTGGGGATCTTGGTCCAGAGTGCATTGATTTCTTCCTGTTCACAGGTCTGTACTTATAATTTTTCTGGAGACTGAAGATAGTTTTTTAGAATGGTGAAGAAGTGTGATTGGTGTATTGTTGCTTGGGGTGTGTAAACTCATACTATTGTTTTATCTCCCAAAACCTACAGCTTGTTTAGCTAAAAAGAACTCCAAGATTTAGATGAGTAATATGTCAAAACTGAACCATAATGCCACTTTTGTAGCTTATTTTCCTCCCAAAGTATTGAAGAAGCCTGCTGAATCCTGGCTGTTGTCTATAGCAAATACATATGTTTAGCCCTGTTCTGGCATCCCAAAGTGTCAGCTTGGAGAGCGAGCCGAGGACATATGCTCCAGCTCCACCGTTTCCAAACCTAACTTTGTCCTGCTTGCATTCAGATGGACTTGCTTACAGACCTCCATGTCTTTAGTTGCCTTTAAATGTGACCGTCAGTTAGTCTACAAGAACTAGTCAATATAGTATGGTCACATTTGGCATAATGCTAAATCATAGCTTAGAGGTAATCGTGTGTTGCCGGACATCATTCCTCCTTCAGCACTGATATTAGGGGAACAAAAGGATCCAGTTCTTCCAGTTTCTTCATTGGCCACTCTGGAGGAGGTTAAGGACTGTTACAGATGATTCAACCCACAGTTAGCTAGAAGATGTTATATTGATTTCAAGATAATAAATGGATGGTATATGTATTATCTTAGTTTCAATAGGAATGGAAGGTGACTAACAAAGGTTTGAGAAGCTTCTGACCCATGGAACTTTAAAAAGGGCCAGGATGAATGTGCATTCAGTATAATGCTATTATAAAATTTAGCATTACATTTGCTGCAACCACATAGGAAGCTTATAGGGCTGTGATGGGTGAGAGACACAAATAGTCATCAGTGAGCTGAATACTGCCTGTTCTGTTTGCGAGCTCAAGTATATGCTTTAGAGAAGAAAAATAGGTTGTTCATGTAATTCTTGCACAATGCACATGCTTAAGGGAGTTGTCTTTTATGGGTGACTTGGTTTTGGCTTTTGAGGGTTGAATGATCTGGCAGTGGTTGCCTTGGTTTGTCTGTCTGTGACATGGGAATAATGGCACTTCTCTTGGGAGCTATTTTGAGCAGCTTCCCAAACAGCAAAGCATTATTAATTTTTAGATTGATTAGCTTCTGTCAGGAACACGGAAAAATCGTATGTTGTTGGCAGTGCTTTGTGCTGTAAGTCGCTTTAACTCATTTACTTTCTTCCCCAGGTGCTTAAAGTGTGCAGATGCCCCCTGTCAGAAGAGCTGCCCAACTAATCTAGACATCAAGTCATTTATCACAAGTATTGCAAACAAGGTAAGGGGGGGGAGGAGGAGGAAAGGGAAAACAGCTGGTTTACCAAATAAACAAAAGGCAAACACTGCAGTTGCTGCATTTCTTTTTGTATGATTGAATTACAACCCTTGTCTGTGTGCATAATGTAATGCAATAATATTTAGAGCAGCTATTATAACATTTAGCAGACTTTTCTTAATTGCATTGAAATATTATGCAATAAGTGCATAGTCAATTTGTACATTAATTCTGCATTTTCAAATAATTGTGGATCCTTTCCTTTGCTTCATTGTTGGCGTTAAGACAAACTTTCATAATTGATTCTATCTATCTATCTATCTATCTATCTATCTATCTATCTATCTATCTATCTATCTATCTATCTATCTATCTATCTATCTATCTATCTATCTATCTATCTATCTATCTATCTATCTAAAATTTAAGGTATTTGTGGATTAGATTCACTACTGCACTCTGTTAGCCTGCTATAACTGTGGGGTATCTTTCTCTTTCTTGTAAAGATAATGTCTTCTCCTCAGAGAGCACCACTAATGTGAAATACACTAAATGGTTTGTGGAGCTTATTCCAGATCTCTGTAGTGTTAGACAAGAGCTGATATTTTCTTTTCTAATTTTATTTGTAGTTCATTTAGGGAGAAAAGGGCACCTTGAACTAAAGCTTGAATAAGGAGAGTGTTGTTTCTCTTGCAAAATATCTCTTTAACAAAAGCCTATTTTGCTAGTTTAGTTGTTTAACCTAGTCGTAAGAATAGCATAAGTAGCATCTGGCTCAGATAATAGAGTGAAATGGAATTAATAAGGAGAATACTGAAAAGTACTGAGTTCAGTCTTAACTAAGGACTGCTGCAGTACAATATTAACTCTGCCATTAAGCAGAGCGAGGAGTTTGGCTCAGGCAGCAGATTTTGAGAAGGGAACAAAATGAGCTATTAGTTTATTATTATTGTACTGCCAGGGAGATGGAGAGAGGAGCATGTGAAATTTTTCTGCATCAGTTTGCAAAAGAAGATGGTTGTCCTTGTTTAGTACATACTATGAGTAGAAGAGTCACTATTCACTGTTTTGACAAAGGAAGCAAAATGTCTTTGTATGAACTTAATTCGGTACACAGGTGTGTATTGTACAGCCAAAATATAAACATTGAGGGCCTTTTAAACTATTACCTTTTTCATTTGAAGCCTGCCTGCAGTAAGAATTGGATGCCAGTTGATGGACAGTCTCCTCTTGTTACCTGAGCATAGGAAAGCCCACAAGTATGTGGCATGGGGATTTCCATGAACCTAAAAGAATGAGAGTGAGAGAGCAAGGGAAGGGGGTATATGTGTGTAGGGTGTGTGAGAGATATCCCATTAAAACATAGTTTTCTATCTTTCAACCTTAGAGACATCCCATCTTGCAATAAAATATATTTATTGGTTGGAATCCAAAGATTCTTTTCTTCCAATAGAAGGAGGTTTTGTTTAAAAAAAAACTACTTCATTCGAGGAATGAAACCTCTGGAACCAAACAGCAGTGGCTTGGGGTATGACCCAAACTTGTGCATGAGTTCCGTAACACATAGAGACCATAGACTGTCTATGTGTATGATCTGTTACACACATAGTAATTACTTTCTACACATAGTAAGAGAGAAAGGAAGGAAATACTTAGGACTGAAGTTCTTATTGTGGGTGAAATCCTGAGGGCATAAAGTAGGCTGAAGAGACCCTAAGTATGAATGCCAAATTTCAGTTAATGGGTTTTAACAGTCTAAGAACAGAAATAGGTATTATTGCTGCATGAGAGTGCAGTGATGTTACTGTGCTGGCAGAGCAAATCAACATTCTACAAGGCTATTCTAAAGTGGGGGGAACCCAGACAAAAAACATTAACTTTGAAGTTGGACTTTGAATCAGCACCAAATTTGGCACAGGTGTAGTAGCCATGACAATTCATTTGTGTTTGAGTGAGAAGTGCTAAACCAATTTAAAAAGGGATCAGCTTCCTTGGCTTTTCACTTGAGCACAGATATGTTGGATGAAAACCTTTCTAACGGAGCATTCTGTCTCTCAATTGATCATTCAAATAAAATAGGATGCCCATGAGCAAGACCTGAACACAGCAGCACACTATTGTTGTTTTTCCATCAACTGGTGTTCACTGGCATATTATTCTGTTCAGACACAAAACAGGTGTCAAGACTGGAAGATTCAGTCACAGCTTTTTCAAAGGTCACCTACAGTATTCAAATACAAAACAGAGTTCTTCTTCGTGGCCTCTGTGAATCACACCCTGGGTGATTTGTGCCTGCGCGGAGCCTCATCGGAAGATTCTAGAGCTTCTGTGATAGCAATGAACACATCAGAATATGCCCTCCCCACCTATATAAGTACCTTGCCACCAAGCATCCTCTTTCAGTTTTTTTTTCAACTGCCGCATTGAGAGCCTCATAATTCTGCTTCTGTGAGTAAAAGAGAAAGAGACCATATTCTTGATTCCTTCCTGTTATCAATCTTTTTCTTTTAAACTATTAGATCAAACTCTTTATCATCAGCAGTTTTTTCTTTCCCCTCGCTTGGCCTCCGGCTGCAGCACCCCCCTCCAATCATCGGTTTTTCTCTTCAATTATTTTCTCCTATTCATGGCCCCTTTGGGCCCATTTAAGCACTGTGTTGTCTGTGATAATATGATCCCACTTTTGGACGGATGGGCTAAGTGCCTTCTGTTTGGGAGAACAACATCAAACTTCCTCCTGTACCATTGCAAAAAATTTTAAGCGTGGAGTTCTTTGATCTCACCTCTCGAGGCTAAAACTCTGACTTTGGGAACAATCCTTACAACCAGTTCAAATGGCCCAACCTCCCTGTAGGGCCACTTCCCAAACCAAAGCAATGGAAAAAGCTGTTACTGAATCATCAAAACAACATCCATTGGCTACACCAGCTCATTCCAATTCTCCATCTGCTTTATCTAAGACCTCGAAGACACACAAATCGAAACCCTTGATATTGAAGTCCTCAACTTCATAAACAACGTCAGAGACCTACTGAAGCTGTTCCAGCTCTGGAGCCCGAACCTCCTAAACGAACTAAACAGTCTAAGTCTACAGACATCCCACCACAACCACAACTCTCTGAATCAATTTGGGTCAGATCTCTCTCAGATGATGACAGAGTTCCATCTCATCAACCCTGTTCTCAGTCTCTAGAATGGGATGATAGAGTCGACCAACTAACGCCCTCTCCTCCCAGTCCACAACCTTCCATGCCTTCCAGCGATCCTTCAGTTCTTCCATCGCCCAAGGATTCCCATCCCAAACGACTAGACACTGTTCCATATTCAATGACCTTGGATTGTCCACCAATCTCTAACCAGAACCGTCAACATCAACAATCTCAACAGCTCACTTCATCGCATGTGGTTCAAACCCATGCTCAGCACGTGTGTCAGGTTGCCATTTGCCATCAAAATGCACCAACTAGTCGACCAGGTGTTTTACCCGGTTTGATAATACCATCTAGTAGTCAGCCTACCTCTTGGCAACCATCGATGTCGAAGCGGCCACATCACCAAGAGGTGACTATACCTCAACCTGCTCCCTACTTGGTATCAAAAAAAACCTCGGACAGTCAAGCAGATTTCATCCACACGTGAGGCTTTTGCAGCCCCAGCCTCCCGATCCTTTCCTACTACAATAGATGATGGAAATCACTCTTCACGATCAGCATCGCCAGCGTCCATTTATTCTATTGCTATGCCATCGCATCAGCAGCCTCTGTTCTGATATCACAGAGACACAGGCTCTGATATAGATGATCCTCAATATTCATCCTGGTCCATTGACACTTGCTCTATTCCGTTACATCAACGCAGTTCCCGTCCTCCGGTAAATACTGTAGGTTCCCATCCTCCGGTAAGTACGACACTGAACTCGACACCAAGGTCCATCCCTACCAATCGATGCTCAACCACCATCTTTCGATGTCGATGATCCTCGACATCAACAGATGTCCATGGACATGCCTCTTCCATCTTTTCTGATTCATAAACGGCAATACTACGAAACCCAGCCTTTCGACACCAAAGTCGATCGACAGTCCGTCGACTCCAGACACGACCTCAATGGCTCTGACCATGGATCTCGGCCACAGACTCCACTGGTGTTACTTACATCTCCAGAGTTGGACATTGTTGATACCGACCCACCGTCACCGGCAGAGGATTTCCAGATGTATGCCCAATTTATGATTTGCATGGCTAAAACCCTTGATCTATAAGTCCACCGACCATCGACAGAACCAATCTATCATCTTTATGATCCGATCTCTAAAAATACAACCATTCTGGTACACTTATCAATGTTGCCATCTCTCCTTAGTCCTGTGCAGAGATCCTGGACAAAACTAGCTTCCTCCCATACCATGTCTAAATGGATTGATAACCTCTGTAGAATCCCTGACCCAGGAGCCATTTTCCTCCAAAAACAACCAGCTCCAAATTCTATATTTGTTGAAGCCTCTCAATCGAGATCTCGACACCGACAATCTCTCATAACACCAAATAAGGACAGTCAATGAATAGACTCCATGGGTAGATGGCTTTACTCTCTGCAGCCTTCACCCTGCAAGTCACTAATTATCAAGGAACCATGGGAGCTTGCCACACTTCCTCTGGGACAACATGTCCACCTTTATTGAATCCCTTCCAGAGGATTAAAAGATACTAGCACAAACTTTCCAACAAGAAGGTATCTCCATTGCTAAACAACAGATGCTTTCTGCCCACCACCCCGTAGATACTACAGCCAAGTCCATGGCCACTTCAGTAGCCCTACGCCATTTTTCCTGGCTCAGAACAACCAGCTTAGCCGAAGATGCTCGGGCACATATCGAAGACCTCCCCTTCGATGGAGCAGGTCTTTTTCATGCTGAAACTGACAATATACTAGAGGGTGTACAAAAGAAACATTCAGCTGCCAGACGTTAGGGAGTTTACCTTTCCTAGCAGCAACGTCCTCA